CACCCTGCCCCCTTTATTCCGCACAATTTACACCCGGCCGTCGGCCAAAATAAAACTTTCCCTGTGAGTGGGAGCGGTGATGGCTTTCGGTCGCATGCTGGCCGCTGATGCTGCTGTAGTTGTCGAAAATAAACACATTTCTTGGAAATAATCTCCATGTCCGTTTGCTTGTTTTCAGATGTCCGACTTCCCTGGCGAGGTGGTCGAGAATGGTGATATGTCCGCCGTAATGGAGAACCTCACCCAGAAGAGCGCCAAACAGCAACAGCAACAGGTAAAGCGGGAATTACATTAACATCGAAATGGGGTTATCTTTCTTCACCCCCGTCTCTTCCCTCATTGACTGCCGGGCGCATGACGAGTCGCAGGCTCGCCAAACAGTAAACTAAAGTCAAGTCAAGTAGTCACTTCGGTGGAATACTGTACTCCCCCGCCCCCTTCTTTTCCCTTGCCCCTTTCGCAAGTAGATCAGATTTGGAGGGGGCCGAAGGGTGTGGCCATGTGTGTTGTGTCGGTGGCTGTCGGTGGGCCTGCTGGGTCTGGGCGCACTGGTGGGCGGGCTATGCCTTTGCCACCCGCGGTCAGTAGCCAGCTGACGGCCGGACCCCGCCTCGTCGGCCCCTAGCGCCAGCACGGGCGTGGGTAGGCGCGTCGAAGGGTTTACCGAGCGGACAGCTCGCCACTTCTCTTACCTTCTTTCACGTTTGACCTTCAGATCTCTTCGTCGGCCACGGCGTCTACCTCGTCCTCCAGCAGCCGGATCTCCACGTCGACGTCGTCCTCGAGCTCGCAGCGCGTCCACGTGTCCTCGTCCGAGATGAAGGCCTCGTCCATGAAGTCGGACCTGTCCGAGCTCAAGTCGAGCATCAGCGAGATGAAGAACCTGTCCACGCTGTCCAACATGGCGGCCTTCAACAGCCGGCTGAGGAGCTCGCTCGAGGAGCTGGACCGGGACGACCCGCCGACGGGTGACGGTGAGCCGCTCGTCACCTTCCCGGACCCCGACACGCCGCCCCCCATGAACGGCACGGTGTCGCTCGTGTCGCCGCCGCTGAGCATCGCCAGCTCCAGGTCGCCGCCGCTCGTCGGCACGCCCGTCCTGGGCGCCAACGGCCTGGCCATGGCCTCGGCCGCTACCTCCTCCATGTCCTCGTCGGCGGAGACCTCCGTCAAGTTCGAGCAGAAGAGGGTCACCTCCGCGTCCAAGACCAAGGTAAGGTTCACGAGCTCATGAGATCACTTCTTACTGAGCCAGAGGCTGTGTGCGCGGTGGTTCTCACCCTGGGTGCGCTTTCCCTTCCCGCAGGTGGTGACGGAGGGCTTCACGGCGGAGCAGCAGGCGGCGCACGCCGCGGAGCACAAGAGCGTGACGGCGGGTGAGATGTCGTACCAGGAGGCCACGGGCGTGCAGGCGCTGCGCCAGCGGCTCGAGATGGACGGCCTGGCCGCCGAGAAGACCGTCGCCATGAAGCAGGTGGGTAGTGTTCAGGCGCCAGTCAGTGGCGGAGTGGTCGAGTGCGGCGCAGTGCATGAAGGCCGCGGGCTGCGTAATTCTGGAGGCACGGGGTGTGGCCGGGGTGGGCCGGGAGTGGAGCCGCAAAGCGGGCAACTTTATGCGGCCTCATCAACTGTCGCCCCGCGTGCCTTGGGGGCCATGGGGTGCGTGACACACGGGGACGCGGGGCCTACCGCACCCCACCGCACCCCTCACCCCGCCACGCCACGCCACGCCACGACGCCCCTAAGCCCCATAGACCCACAGACCCATGGGATGCGCATCGCGTGCGCTGCTTCCGCAAAAAAAGTTCGCCGTCTCTTTGGCGTGCCGCTACCATTTCCTTCTTGTGTTGACTTTTATTGTAAAAACAGGAAAAAAACAATTTTGTCCCTAACGCCCTAACTAATGCCGTCCTCCATGGCCTTTAGTTTGAGTATGCGGTTGATCGGCAATCGTTGATCGGCAATTTTGTTGAATCAACAGAGCAACAGTGCGAAAAGATGTAAAAGTATTTTAGTGGCGGATCTTTTAAATGCACGTAAACCTAGAGCAGCAAGGCAATAGAACCTGATAAAGCAGACTAGACCTCTCCCCTTTTCTCGTCGTCGCCACTTCCACCACCAACCGCCTCGTCGTCTCCTCCCATTTCGCCGAGCTCGAGGGGACAGGAGATGTGGGCCGAACAACTTTTACGGGGTGGGATGAGGTGGCTCAAGTAAGTTTTGTGGGATGGGCCACACAAGATTGACCTTACTGCCGCGGTGCCATCGACGGGGGGCGATAAGTAAACTGTTGATGCCCGCAAACACAAAGGCGTGGGATCCGACTTGTTGCACCGGGAAAACGTGAGGAAATGTTTATTTTCCGACGCTATATTGAGTTTTGGCGAATAAAGTTAGTCGAACCAAAATTTTGCCTTTCGTCCGGCTATTATCAACCTGGAGGGAAATCGCTTCAGAGTGGAATACAAAAGTGTGCCAATGAAACCGCTAGTGTAGCATAGACATTCATTTGCCGCCTCGCTGTCTGCTGTCACACCGTCTAGCTGAAAACTTATCGTTTCTTAAAACTTTTGTCAATAGTGGACTCCCAGCCATCAGCAAACACATCGCGTGTCTCCCGCTGCCTCCCCCGGCCCGTGCTCGCACCTCCCTCCCCTCTCCCCCTCCCCTCCAGCCAGCTACCCCTCGCGGGGCCCAGGCCTATGCCGCGCGCTCAGATCGATCGGTAGTGTGGCGAGGGTATGCGAGGGGCGGGCGGTGGTGCCCGATGCAGGGGGAGGGGGAGGCCGCCGGTTTCTTGGCAGGGAAGGGCTGCGAGTTGCACCGTCATTGGTTTAACTTCACTACCGCATCCCTCGTGTTTTGAAAACAGAAGCATCCCGATCACGGTCGAAAATTAAATTTTCGTTCCGTTGGGGCGAGTTGTGTTGACCCCCGCCCCTCCCCTCCTACCACTGGGACGGCACCCTTCCGTGCGGCGCCGTCCCGTCCGGCTGTAGCTGGGGTGCGCCGGGCGCCTGCCGCCTGGACTGGAGTGGGGTCCTGGGGTGCTGGAGTGTGAGCAAGGGCCGTCGGGCGAGACGTGGCGCCATTCAGACCGCGTCGCCCTCGTCTCCAGCGCAGTCCCAGACACCCCTCTCCCCCTCCCCCGCCCCCGGCCGGAGCGCAGCGCGCCCAGCGGCGCATTGCAAGGTCACCCTGCTGGACTTCTCAAAGAATTCAGTGCAATAACGGA